AGGTACCAACATACATATGTCCGTTAATCTGAGGTGTCACATTATATTTATTTCCACGAGTAAATTGAAGAAATACTTTTTTTTTATAAGCTTAAGAGTCCTACAAACTTATATATTAGTTTTCTCATATAGTAGAATATTTTTAGAACATATCGAATTATTTATTATATATATGTGTGTAGATAATATCGAGATAAAATTAAAAAATAATTTTAGAATTTTATAAAAAAAAAAAATTATTTTTCATGCAAAATGTCGAACTGTTCGACTGAGATAACTCATGTTTCAAGGTGTCATAGCCAAAGAAAAAAAAAGATTTTGAACATAAAAGGAAAAATATGATTTCTTTTTCTCGCACAAAACTTCTTTACGAAGATCATATAAATTCAAAAATATTGACCTTCTTTCGTGAATCACTTATCACATCTTACATCTCACACATCGAATCTAGTCGTCTTATCTCGATGTACAGCTGTATTATACAGCTTCCTATACCCGACATATTCAGTATTATCTTCTTCCTCGAAACTTTCTTCAGACCCTTGGATTATAAAAGCTAAAAAATTTTTATCCGAAGATGAATCTTCCATAAGGGAGACGTTTATATTTGAATTTGCTTATATTTTTAACATGTTTTGTTATTTATGTTGCTCAAAACGTCTCCTGTGTTTTCTAATTTGTTAAACTACACCTGATGGCGTATTGGGAATTGGATTAATTTTATTTAGCCTTGTGTCTGACGTATCTGTCACGGGAGTCTTTTTATTAATTGCTTGCGAACAATCAGGTGACACAGATTCTAGTTCTCCATTTTTCTTTGTATTTTATATTTGTTTCAATAATAATCCTTTACCTTTAAAAATGATTAATACAAAAGATAAAAATCGCTGAAAAAATTAACCCATTCAATCCGAATCAGAGAATAATGATTCTCCTATTTTTTCAATAATACTACGACAATATCATCTCATCGCACAAATATAAACATAATCTTTAAATATTATATTAATATACTTTATTCAGAAAAAAATTATTATTTTTTTTTTAGTAAATTGCTTAAGATTTAATTGTTTATGAGTTTTGTTAATAATTGTCGGTTCTATTAATAAAAATATCTGTAAATAGTACTATATCTATAAAATATGAGTCGTCTCGCTCGTAAGATCATCTAATCCGTAATTAATTCATATACAGAAATATTATTTCTCTCAAAAAGATTTCTTATTGTTTCATTTATATTTACATGATATTTTATTAACGATTAGTAAAAGACATGATAAAAATACACGAGTCATATTTTTGCCCATTATAGGTAGTGCCACCGCCAGGGACAACGGTCTCTTCATCCTCACAAGCTCGTTCACTTTCGAGGAGACGTACTTTTGATAGCCCTGTCCCGTCAGGATTGAGCGTTCATCCTGTCGCCGCAGCCGCAGCCGCTGCAAGTGATGGCTCGGTCTGTGGTCCTGTTTGCGGTCAGAGTTGTGGAAGTTCCCCCTCGCCTCGAAGAGTCGGTTCCTTTCGTCGAAGTACCGCCGCTGCGAGTACCGATCGACCACCGCTCATGTTTTGCCGTCGCAGACCGTCTTGGCCAGAATTCGACGTACAAGCCACTTCTGGGTAAGTTTTTTATTTTTCAACGTATCCAATTGCTTCATTTTATTTTCAATTATTGTTCAATTATAATTATTCAATGAAAAAAGCCTCGTAATAGGCTTCAAAAGGATAAAAAATAATTTTAAAACATACCTAAAGTAACTCATAGATTCGTTCACGTGAGGCTAATATATTTTGATTATTTAATATAAATAATTACATTTTGTGTCTTAATGTTAAGAAAAAAATTGCACATTTAATACATTTAAGATTTACAAATCAAACGATGTTTCATTTTTATAAAACAAAATTTATTTCTTAATAACAAAAATACAAAATCAGATATCTATGTGAATATCTTGCACGATCGATATTTTCTCTTCTTTCTTATTTGATAAAATCGAGATTTTTAATAGAATATTTTTCTACCAAATGACATATGTAATTCTATAAAAGAGAACGACATTTCAATAAATATAATCAAAGTAGATTCTAAAATATATGTATATTTACCTATATATTTTCATATTAGAAAGAGAGAAAAAGAGAGAGAGAGAGAGAGCTCGTTAGATACTTTTTATTCATGATGAAGGACGGTCAAAGGTTATCGTCCCACAGAGACGCACCTGTTGCGAGCAAGAAGATATGAAATAAGAACGACGGTATTTCGCACTTCTCATATGAAAAACGAAATGATTTCTTCATCTTTCCCTTCTCTCCTACCCCTTTATCGTAAGAACATCATTATAACATCACGTTGTAACACCTTCAAAGGTTATCGTCGATATTGATATAGTGTATAGTTAATAACGCAAAAGAAGCTTACATACGTATATACATTTTTATTACATATGTATGTACATATATCCCTTTCCTTTGATACGTATATACATAGAATATTTCTAAGAACTTATTTTCAAGAAAAATTAGAACGAGAGTAAAATAGAAAAAGCAAATCAATTCTCTGTACACGTTAGCGGGTAATCAGGAAATGAGTTGAGTTCCGTTGAATGTAATCCAATAGACATTGACGACGATCGGAGAAGATTTGTCTGGATAGGAAATGAACGAATGCTAGGATAATGAATTTAACTGCTATCGAGACGCGTCTGGCATGACTGAAATAAGAAAATATACTGGGATTCTGTGTAATTCGATACCGATTGCTAAGAAATCAAGTTACATACAATTATTGACTCTAATTACGAGGAACCGTATCTCCTTTACTCTCCGATTACTAATCACAATTTATTAACAATAATAAATTGATGTGAGAATATATGAGAGAGAGAGAGAAAGAGAGAGAGAGAGATTTCCATGTAAGATAGTATATAAGAATAATTATCTCTAGATGATTATGATGATCATGTATCCAAATGAGAATTTATTTTCACTTAAAAATATTTGCCTACTATTATTTCTAACGCAAGTTGAAACATATTCGTATATTTTTCTATTTGGAAACTTTCCAAAAATATTTTTTTTTTCTTTTTATTTCAATATAACGATTCTGGCATTATATTATACGATCTTATTCCAATCTTCTAGAAAACGTTATAAAAGAACGTTTACTAGATGACAACATTAAAATCGATATCAAGAAATCGGAGAAAAATTCGAGAAAAGAGAAGATTATTAAAAGTCTAGTCGGCGTATCAATAAATATACGTGCTTTCAAAAGCAAGTAATGTCGTACCAGAGACAGTCGGACTCGTGCGAGCAAAATGAAAAATCGATTCGGATTAGAAATGCCAAAAGAATGCCTAGGATGCATCGATATTTCTCTTATTTACTTCGTCGAAGTAGATACTGTATCTAGGAACATGACGGAAATAAATCCACCAACGCAAATTCTCTTTAAGAGATTCTTATCTATTTTCTTCTTTTATTCTCCCTTTTAAGTCCATCCAGCATTGGTGTCCTTCGATTTTAAAAATCTTTTGTCGCTGAATAGCATTCCTTACGAATCATGTAAAAATTGTACAAATTGGAGCTTTCCATTGATATCTAAAAGTTTCGCTTTATATTGATAATTTTGTGTAATACGCTTATATTTGTATCGACATAATATCACATATCATTTCGAACATTTTTAAGTAATTAAACTGAAATTGCAAACAATATAAATCAATATAAATTCAGATAATCTAAAATAATTCTTCTACAATTTTGTTAAAAATTTTCAATAATACAAATATCGATGATCAAAATAATTATTTTGAAAGTCAATAGGTGATTTAATATGTTGATTAAAATATATCTATATGGGATAAATAAATTTTATGTAAAAAAAATTTTTTTTTCCATTACAAAAGATAGAAAATTTGTATTAAATAGATACGTATGTACGTACATATATTTTTTGCAAAATGATATAATTTATATAAAGCTTCAACAAAAAAATCCAAGCTTTTGTTTCTATCATAAATAACAACAGAGCAAACGTTTATCGTTATCACGATTTGCGTAAATCACTCACTCGTATTTTAAAGTTGATAATAATAACGCCTTTCGTTTTCCGGTTTTCAGCTTTAGTAGCTCTTTTTAGTAGTCTCTTAATCGACAAAAAATTTAATGCACGACGAATCATGTGGGTACGAAGCTTTAAGAAGAAACAGCCCATGGTCTTATAATGTACATACAGAGGGAGAGTCGGTGTTTATAAATAACAAAACGATATACGGTATCGATGCTTGGAATAAATTAGTTCAATAAGGCGTATACTTGACGCAAGATATACGAGACATACCGGTAAAATATAATGTCGAGTGTGGAATTATTTTTGTTCGGATTAAAGAAAATTTTATCCTGCAAAAGGAAAAGTAACAAAATCATTGTAATACTTGATTAATCGATATCATTTCCTTTTAAGCGTTCAAGAAACCGATGGCTCCTTCTTCGAGAGTTTCACCGCGTTATCTTGGAAACAAGAGAATCGCAGACTGGTGGCTCTTCAGGAAGTCGAAGCTCGAGCTAAGGATCCTCCACCATCATCCGGAGAGGCCAACATAAATTCCTTCCACTCTCGTCGACTTAACAAAGAAGAGGTCTTCACAAAGAACAATATTTCATCCTTCAAGCTTAAACTTTAAGAACGTAAGTTGATATGCATGTTTTTCAGATCGAGAAACTATACGTTGAAGTTCTTTATACGATCGCGAATACGGTCGGAGCAAGTACGGGTCAGTACGCTCACTATAAAGAGGATCTTTATGGGTATGCGCAGGAAGCGTTTGGTATACCGCAGGATCAACATCGACGATACCTCGATATTGCCTCGAAAGAGAAGGTAGGGTTTGAAAGAGACCTATCCTTCATTTTTATTACATTTTCGTCTTAACCCTCCTATGTGCGTAATTTTATATTTTTCTTATGCACCTTTATGAAGAATATATTGTACAAAATTAATAAGTTAATATTAAAGTAAAAATAGTGGAAGAATTATAATATTATTACGTACATTAAAGGGTTGTCGAGGTTCAATTAAAACAAAAGAAAAAAAAAAGAAAATGAGACAACGAAAACATTTTCTCACATAAATTTCAGCCTCCTATCGTGGTTCTAAGTGTAATAGTTATCGAAGCTGAAGGACTAGAGGCGAAGGACGCTAACGGTAAATTAGATAACGATATAATTTAATAATGAATATTCATAAAAATGAGAATAAGGGTATGGTAAGTTGTTCGGTACAATAGGTTTCAGCGATCCATATTGCATGTTGGGTATACAACCTGGTAATACAAGTGCACCACTGAGCCCCCAAACGAATCTGTCAGCTCATTCTCCTCATACACCTCCAGCTTCACCAAGACAAACGGCTCGAGCTTTATCCGATGGAGGTGAGAACGATAACTCGCATCACGAAAAGCTTCGAAAACATCATAGGTAAGATCGATGTAAAATGAAGGGGAGAAATAAATAAAAAAAAGAAAAAAGAATACAGAGTTCAATACTTTGTAATATTGTTTTGCTTCTATAGACTTAATAAAAATAATAATCATATTAATGAATATTGGACGAGTCAGTTAATCCTTTTATTTGAAATAATTTCTTTGTAACATAAATTTCTAAAAAAATATTTTCTAAAAACGTTCGCGACTTCGAAAGAGATATTAGATGGTTTTGATTGATTTGATCTTGGTCATTTAAAGTCATTTGAAAATTGCACGAAGATCATTTTCAATTTATTAAATGGAAATCGTCATTTTTCAATTCATATTCTTACAGCTTATCTCGAAAACTTTTCAAAACAACATAATAAAATACTTTTTCATTAAGTATGTATTATACTTTTCCAGTTATAAGACCTGAAAGTTACAATAATGCTGCGCCGACATTAGCATTACCCAAGGTGTATTACGTGGAGGTCGGTACGGTCGATCTTCGTACATAGCGGCATATTAACTTTAAAACTTAATATCTCAATAGTGGTTTGTGCGAAAGTTACAAGTTAATAATGCTTTAAAAACGTTTCGATGTCAACTGTAGGTATATATAATAGAAAAGTATAAGTTCCCATATTGAAGATTTAACATGGCCTACATGTGGTTTTTAAACGTTATCAGAGGTCAAATCAATTACACCATCTTATGTCCCCTTCGACGAAGTCATAAATTTTTTTTAGGAAATATTTCTTCGAAATTTACATTACAATGAACGGGTAATTTCGGATAAAAGAGTTAAGTTACTCACCCCCCTCCCGTCTAATATTTTTCGGATCGAATTTTTTTCTATGCAATATCTATGTACGTACGAGTGAGAAACTAGGCCTTTTAGGATTATTCGTGCTAAAATATCTAATCCACGAAACGATGACTTCATATAACATCATCGAACAAAATGCAAAGCGGGAATATTTATCGCGAACAAACTCTCTTGACGAAGTGACAATGCAGCTTGCGATAACAAAAGGTGCACCGGATGTAACAACTTCTGTCCTTACTTTACATGTTGCCTTGAAATATAGCGCTACCGTATGCACGATTCTCCCTTCTTCTTACTCTCTCTCTCTCTCTCTCTCTCTCTCTCTCTCTCTCTCTCTCTCAGTCTGCTAGTTAGCTATGCCATCTGGTGTTGAAAAGAGAGAGAGAGAGAGAGCAATCAGGAGAGAGAGAGAGAGAGAGAGAGAGAGTGACAGAGTGACAGAGTGACAGAGAGGGAGAGAGAGAGAGAGAGAGTAACACGATAAATACCGCACCGAGTGGACATAGTGTTTAACAGGATAGAGTATCGGCATTAAGTGTGGTTTCGAGAATCTCAAATAATATATTTTTTTTCTTTATCTATTTTTATTTTTTGTTATCTTACATCTTAATGCCTGCTGACGTCGAAAATATGGTGAAAAAACAGCTAAACGTATTGTGAGATATATCACGATTTTCCTAAATACATCAGCACGTTATCCGAAAAATTGTCTAATAAAATTGACGTGATGTCTATTAAACGTCAGTTTCAGGCTATCATTCAAGCGCAAAGAGCATACTAGCAGACGAGAACACCGTGAATCCTTTAGCGGAGCGGTTCCTGCCAAGTTTATACGTGCTACCACAGTGAAACCGCACACATTGAGTCCGCAATGGAAAGAAAAATTTCGCTTGTAAATTATCGTCCTCCTATATTATTCATTTTTTCAATTTTAATTTTCATACAGTGTGCCACAAAAGTATCTAGTCTCTCTTAAGTACTATAATATATTAAATAAATTTTATAAAAAATTATAAGTTCTTTCTTTTATTTATTTGTCCGTTTTATAACAAAATATAACAAATTAAAATTCCACAAATTTATTATTTATTAACTTTTTGTAATTACTTTCAATATCTTCGTATACAAAGAATGTTACTTAAAGTATTTAATGTTTTTAAATGTTACATGTAATAAAAAACAGCAATAAAATCAATAAAGTAATATCTAAGCGAGAGGTGACCGGATACTTAAGTGCTACCTGTCTATTAATGAAAAAAAAAAAAAAATTATGAGGGAATAGATAAATTTATAAAGTCTTCCGCGATATAATTTTATTTTAGCGACATCGACGATATCAGCACGGATATCTTGCATCTCGATATATGGTATGTCTTCGTAAGTAGGTTTTACCTACTTGAAACATACTAGGGCCAGCACATTATTCAAAAATATATCATTTTTAGGGACCACGACGACGAATCCTCGGTATTCGACGCCGTTAGTAAATTGAACGAAGTGCGAGGTGTTAAGGGTCTTGGTCGATTTTTTAAACAAATTGCACAAAGTGCCCGTTCCGGTAGTCAAGATGACTTTTTGGGCTGCGTGAATGTTCCACTTCAGGTAGAACAATATCCGTGATTTAAATAGAAACGACATTTATAATTTTCTCGAATATCTTAGGATATTCCAAGCACAGGCTTGGAACGTTGGTATAAACTCGAAGCAAGAACACAAAGAAGCAACATTCAAGGTAGAATCAAATTAAAATTGTGGCTATCCACACGAGAAGACAGAGGAACATCCGAAGAAGATAATTGGGCTGAGCTTAGACAGCAAGAAAGACTTTATACCATTTTCCTCGATCATGAAATGAACAAACAAGGGGTATTCGATCTGTTTCTATAAACGTTCAAGTTATTTTATAAATTCTTTATATTTTTACTCTCTCATTCGAACTGTATATCGCTTCTCAGGAAGATTTCACAGGTGAGTTACCCCAAACAGCACTGACAATTCTTCATCAGCATGCTGTGCAAGGTGATGTCACAGAATTGCAGCAGGCATTGATCAAATGGATCGCTAGTTCGAAACATCCGGCTGTCGATTCGAAAGTTCTCCATCGTCTTCTTCAGGTAATCATTTAAATCGAATTTAATACGAATGATAATAAAAATATTACAAATAAATATTAATCTTGAATAAACTTGTTCTCTATTATTTCGCTTTTTAGGAAATAGATAACCTATGGCATTTAAAAACGACGGAAACATTATCGCGAGACGAAGAACAGTCTCTGGCAGATTCTTTCAATGATTTTTTAGAAGTAGCACTCAAAAAGATTCAACAACATCGTACGTTATATCCGCCATTACATCGATTATCAATCTCTAAGCTTGACAATCTCCTGAGGTAATTTCTAATCGTCTATTTACTAGACACATCGAATAAGGATCTGGCTTTCTGAAATGCTTTTATTACTTTGTTTCAGATGTTTAGGTCTCTTATCGAATATGAAAGCTTTTTGGGCATGCTGTCCCTTTAACAAGGAAATAAGAGGAGAAATTATAACAGCCCTTAGAAAAGGAACTCACGAGTGGTACGTTAATCGATCAAAAATTTTTTTTTTACAAATATATTTCTTTTTTTTGGGGTGAGGGTTAAATGCCTCGTAACTACATTTTAACTGTTAATCTAGGTACGAAGATGTGCGACATCAAACTATGTATCATGATCAGGAACCTGATCAAGATGCGGATCGCGTCTTGCAAGACTTTACAAATTTAGTCACGGCACTGTTAGTAGATTTGGAACAGGGTCGTATGTATTATAATAGTCTCTTTGAAAGGTAAATTAGAAAATATCTTGCGTTATTTATCAAACTAAAAAGGATATAATTTTTATTGATACAATATTTTCACCTTTCAGTACAAATGGTGTACCATATTTTTCAGCAGTTTATAAACAGTTGGAAAAACTGGTAAGTATCTATAATAGGAACGATTAATATCAATGATGAGAATTACGTGAAATTTTGTTACTACGTCACAGCGGGAACACGTGATCACATAATACACAATGTTATTTTTTATTTCTTATCTCGTCAAGCTCGATGTGCTATGTTTGGCTTCAATGCTTTATCGCAGACATCGATCGTGTTTTTACACGCTCTTTTTAATATGATTGATAATCTTTTAATTATACTTTCATATTTTTAAAAAAGCACGATATTGCGACGTTATTTTTATAGATTCGATCGATGTATACTTACATTCAATTGTGTCAGTACACATATGCGTGTCACACATACACACAAACACACATACGCCCACACGCGCATACACATATACATGTACACCATTTACTTATTTACTGTAGGAAATATGAAAAGCTTGCGATATTTAAGAAGATGATTATGTACCATCGACGTACAAGAAAAAAGAAAGAATTCGCAAGAGTTTATTGTCCATCGGTTCATCATTATTTTACTGTACACAAAATATTTGTTCGTAGCTGGCGGAACACGTGGCGAAACACATGGAGAACACTTCCGAGGTACTTTTCTAATGCCTCCAAGAAATGTTAATCTCTCCTTGTCTTTCTTTTCCTATATTCTTCGACTTTCCTGTAGATGTAAAAGTAAATTTACCCATTGACCCTCCCCTCTATCTTCGTATACCTGGTGATGTAATTTCAAAGAAATAGATTCTATAGGAAAAACAATATTAGCCATATTAATAACCAATTTATCTTCTACTTTAGTATTATTTATTTATGGCGTAATATATCTATAATTTCTTAATACAAAGTCATTATTGCAAAATATCTAGAGACTAACGTACAATGACATTGACACGGATAGTGTTTAAATCTTAAGATTCTTTTTTTTCAGTGGAAATTCACTTATTTCCTCGATAGATGTTAGGTAACACTGGCACTGCAGTATGTGCTGCACGTATCTGTCATATAGATATGCATGGTAGTGATGCATGAATAAGTTGAATATTACATTACGTATTTCAACTGAATATTTTATTTCTACCATGACACGATATTATGTGATATAATATATTTTTTACAATAAAACAAATATTTTTGATCTGTCCCTTTATTAAATTGAAATACTAACCAAAAGAATATTTTAAAAATATTACTAAAAAAATTGTAATATTTCTTTTTTTATTTCGTACAAATTAATTATTATTAATAAATTGAAATTTTTATTTCGAAATAATTTTTTTTTCTTAATAAAATAATTTTTCAAATTAAATTAATAAAAAATTTAAATTTTGTTATTGACTTATTCCATTAACACTTCTTGACCTATACTATATGTATACATTGTCTTTTAGCTCTCTCAATAATCACATCTTTGCACGTTATAATGATCAATTGCTTTTCTTCACCAAGTATTCACCATTTGTTTAAATTTTAACATTACTCATTATAAAAAAAATAAATATCGATAGAAATTAACAATCATTATACATTAAAATATTTATCACTAAATGTTAATCAATTCGACAGATTCAAAATGAACTCGGTGCAAGAGTCACCACCGCCTGTCTCCAAATCCATGGACAAAACAGAGACGAAGATTACGTATTACCACCTGGTGCAGAAATAGGGACACCAATTTTTGAGTTATATCTAGCATTGCAAGACTTCGTGAGGTATATTAATTCAAATATAAAATATTCATAGATAGGTCAGATTTTGTTTTCAAGAGGCAACAGGGAAACGCATTTTCTCGAAAATTATTGTTAAGTAAAAATACACCAAAAGTAAGAAAAAAATAGCACCATTATAAAAAAAATTAATAGAACTTTCAAATAATATATATCACTTGATCCCTGTTGGTATTTAAGATTTTTAATTATTCCGCTTGAATTTATTTATAAGGATTTGATCTCCTATCGAAAATAGAATTGAACAATCCCATCGTTTTTCAAATCATTAGATTTTATAATAATATGGTGTACACTTTTCATTTGGACATTGTATACGGTGTCGCAAAAATAACAAATTTATACAATACTTATTATTAAAATTTTTTCTTTTATTCAGTATGAAGGAAAAGTTACCGTTATCTGATCAGAAAACTCTGATAATTTGCAATTATTACGAATGGTTCAAACCAGCTATTGACAAATGGTTGGATCTTGCAAAGTTAAAAGCAATTCAAAGAATCAGAAAAGCGGCAGAATTGGATCGAATTTGTACAGGTGATTTTATAGTAAAGCATTGTACATCTGCAATTGATGCAACTGCATGCTTTTATCAGGTAAAATATTTATACATCTTATATCTCAGTTTAAGACAATAAATATCTAAGATATACATATGGTTAAATAATTGTTGTAATATCTATAGATCAAAGAGTTTTGGAAGAAATTAGCATGGCCAGATTTTATCGGATCGTATAGTTTCGTATTGAAAGTCATCGATGTAAGAGATTGAATAAAATTATTTCATTAATGTAAAACAATATTACAAACGTATACATATCAAAATTTGTTTCTAATAGGCTATCTGCAGTCCTGCTGCTTACTATGCTGAAATAACCCACCAAAAATTAGCTGAAAGTGGATATTATGAAGAACAAACACCATATAAAACCACAGACGAGGTAATCGTTCAGGTAGAAATTGCTTTGCTTTAATTTATGCATTAGTGGTTAGTAGTATCATCGGCAGAGAGTATTGAGTAAGTAGAATACATATATATTGTTTAGATGCATCATAATGATATTTTGTAACATTCGTAAGTATAGATACATTCAATGAATAATGCATATATTCGGTTACACTTTAAAAGAGAATTTTTTTTCTAGATTTTGAGAATAATATTTTTCCAAGATTGAATCATTTGATTTCTTTCCGTTTAGATGTGCGTCGCTATAAATGGTTTAGAATATGTAAGAAGATGGTTATTAAATCTAGGAGAAGAACTTCACGTTGAGAAACTTCTCACAGCTTTGGAGAATCAAGCTGGAGATTCTGCTCGAGCGCAATGGAGAAATGCTTTGACTTTACCGTTGGAACAAGCGCCTGGACAAATGTTACTCTTCATTAATCAAATTGTTTCAAGAATCGGCACAAAGGTCAAAATCATTATAAAATATTAATAAACGATAGAGTGATCGGAATGATATATCAAATATCCTTATCGTATTATAACTTGTAGAAAATTAATTTAAATTTGATCTATCTTCATTATTTTTGTTATTGTTCAGATGAGACCATCTTTGAAAAAATCCATGTTTCATCTTGCTTGGTCACCCGACAGTTTGCCCACGTCAGAAGCAATCACACCTTTATTGGAATATTTGGATGTACATTTGGTAGCTCTTAATTCGTCTCTTTTAGCTGTCAATTTTACGCGTGTCTTACAAGACGTTTGGGAGGTCGTTCTTAATGAATTGAGCAATCAAATGGATGGAAATGCAGGAGTAAGTTGCATAAAACGATTAAAAAGTGATGGTAATATTAACATTGATTCTATTCTAGGACAAACCAGCTATGTTTTATGAAAGATTGTACGAAGCGCTCGATCTATTGATCAAATTCTTTCATGCGGATGAGAAGGGTCTATCTTTAGGGGTACTACGTAGTCCGAGCTTTTTAAATGTAGAAGAACGCTTGCAATATCATAAAATGGATACGACTTTTCTCATTAATCGTTACTATCGTCAACGACTTCAAGTAATAATAATCATATCAACAATAAGGAAAATTTCTTTCAAATTTTCATTCAATTCGAGCCCTGTTTCACTGAATTTTTTTTTAGGACCAAATGAATACCATGACATCAGAGTACGGCGTTTTGACAGTGAGAGCATATCTGAATCACGATTCGCTTTGTGTAGAAGTGATAAATGCTAGAGACGTAATACCGTTAGATCCGAATGGTTTTAGCGATCCCTTTGTAATAATCGAATTGTTGCCACGAAAAATTTTCGAACATTGTGCTGAACAACAAACCAACGTTAAGAAAAGAACTTTAAATCCAATGTTCGATGAATGTTTCGAATTGTAAGTTTACGAATCCTTATACAGCTCCTTTATAATCACTTTCTTTCATTGAAATATAAATTAATTTTTTTTTTTTTTTTTTTTTTTTTTTTTTTTTAATTAAGTTCCGTAAGCGTGGAACAGTGTCAAAGTCCTGATGCTATAGTCCTATTCACCGTAATGGATCACGATGTACTCACAGCGAACGACTTTGCTGGAGAAGCATTTTTGGGATTAAGCACGATACCCGGAGTAGCTGACACTAATACCAGTATAGATAATTTTCATGGCCTCAAACATACAGAATTACCGTTAATGCACCAAAAAAATCGAAGTGAGTAGATACCTATGATAAATTTTTATAAGATCGAACTTGAGGTCTTAAGATAATTATTCTGGATGAAAGCCATTCAATTTTTCAAAGCATATCATATTCGTATAAGTCATTGTATATTAATAAATAAAATAATTCCTATTTCAGACCATCCAATTCTTCAAATCCTAGAAACAAGAGTTGGCGATAAATTAGCCCTCGACTTCGTAAAAAAACAAAAACAACGATTCGCCACGGCATAAAAAAAACGTGGCATCATTATAATGAATAAAATCAAATGCACAGGTTAACAATGGTCGAAGAATCAACGAGAAGAAAGAACCATAGCTCGTTAAATCTTCTCCGAATATTTAACGCCAAGTTCCAATTCCTGTGTAAATCGTATTGAATTTAATCAATGTTGATAGGAGCGGTCAAGAAAAATAGCAACGAGAAAATTCAAAATTATTTTTCTGTTAGAAATGGGTTTATAAGAACGAAAAATGTTGGAAGGGAAAATAGAAATATGTCTGTGTGATGTATTTAACGGTAAATGTTTTAAAATTATCGCCCAACTCGGAACGATTCGTCGAATTCGGAACGATATAAAAAGAAAAGTCTCGTCTCGTCTCGTCTCGTCTCGTTTCGTTTCATCTGGTCTTGTCGTAATGTTGGCTCGGTATATGTACAATGTATATATGTACCTATGTTCTTTCAAATCGCCGCTAAAAGATCGATTTTATTCTCGAAATATTTCTCGATATGTCTCGACCTATTTTGCATAGCTTCGAGAAAATACTAAGCCAGTAAAAGATGATCGATATACAAGAATATTTTTCTTACACGTCGTCGGCCAATACATCTAACTTATTCTATCTTCTCGTCGCCACTCTAATTCTCGAATATTATCTCGGTAAACAGTGGCGTGTTTACTAAGAATGTCGAAAGGTTATTCTGTCGCAAAAAGGAAATGTGTCATCGGTAACACATTCTAATAACACGACGTCTTAGCACGATCCTTTCTAAATCATGCGATTCGAATCTTTGAATCGCGCCTTTAGTACAAGGTGTTACGCCTAATTTCATTTGCTCGAACAATCTCTACTTTTCCTACTCTCTTTGCGACTTTGTCAACGCAACGTTTGATGTTGAAAAGTAGATATTTTGCGTAACGATTGGAAAAATTAGAAATACATATAATGTATGGTATTATGAAAATCGAAGAAGAAGAGAAAAAAAAACAAAAGGAAAAGGAAAAGAAAAAAGGAAAGGAAGGAAGGAAAAAAAATGAAAGCGAAACTAATCTCAAGCGCACACACGTCAATTTTTTCTAATGCACGTATCACTTTGCGCCTCCCTGTGTATCTTATACATACAAACGATGAGGATATTATGTAAAACACTTTACATCTGATGCGCCTTATATCAAAAGCAGAGGTTAAGTAAATAGATATATAACGTATGTTTGAACCTGGATAAACTTCGTGCATCGAATCCAATCGAACTTCTAGTATATTTTGCTTTTTCAAACCACCAAAAACGTATGTACAATCTATCTTGTATCGTGAGACAAATAAATGATATATATGTATAAACATTAGTATCTACTGACCAACAACAACAACAACAACAACAACAATAACAAAAGCAAAAAAAAAAGAAAAGAAATAATAATAAGTTATGGCATTTCTTCAGGAATTTTGGAATTTGGGGGCGAACTATCGTTCTTAATTAATATTGCTTGATTAATGCACGTATTATCCTCGGTTCGTATAATTGGTTCACCATCTAATTTTTCCAGATGAGGCAGACGTCGAACAACTTCCAATCTCCATTGATCCACCTAAAATAAATTATACGTAACTTATAATTGATATTTTTCCTATGTACCTAGATTGCCATCATTGTCACGCTCGTAGGATTTTATGGCTACCTCAAGGCTATCGTACAATGGATTTCCAACAAAGGATAAATCTCGGATATTTGTAAGTTCTTGCAATCTACCAAATTCGATCCAATCTCTCACCAAATTATTAGACATATATAATGCTCGAAGATTTTTCATTGCGCTAATACCTTTCATTTTTTCGATATAATTGTAGGAAATCCAAAGTTCCTCTAAAGTATCACCAAGTGATTCAAGACCTGAAAAGCTTTTCACCACGTTACGACTCAACGACAAGATCTTTAAGTTTTTCAATGTTCCAATTCCTACAAAATAATTCAATTTATTTTGTATATATATATATATATATATATATATATATATATATTTATAAATTCTCACCTGTTATCTTTTCGATCATATTCGTCGACAAAGATAGTCTTTCACATCCAGTTAAACACGCCAAAGAGTTATCCATCTTTTCAATAGGAAGCCATTGAAAACTTAAAATAACTTCTTTTGCAGTCGCAGGATCCTGTTTGTTTTCTTCCTCCCAACGTCGTATCGCTTCTTTACAAGTCGTTGCTTTGACAACTGCCATTTCTTCTTTGTACTTAAATTTCTGATATACTTCTTATTATTTATAAAAAAAAAAAAAAGAAAAAAGAGAAAGAAACAAGTAAACGATAAGAATGAAGATAGATAAAAAAAAGAAAATAAAGGATAAAATTTGGATTTGTCCTGTACAAGATAATGATCGGAGTATTCGTAAAGGTATCTAAGAAACAATCAATGTATCTACTTTCTTATGCGCACGCCTATTTCTGATTATACGAAAGATGCCCACAAACATATATACTTACGTACAACGTTTATCTGCCGTTGATGATGATGATATTAATGATAAAATTGTTCGATATAATAATGAAAAGGACCACAATAGGGAAGGCAGTTATACAAAAGACTCGTTAAAAATTCTTAAAGAATAACGGACACTTTATTGCATATAGATATAAAAAGAAAAGTGTCAGAATAGTTAAATCTTATCGAGGGTCTCAACGACTTGCCTATATTTGTGCGATCGACAAATATGTTCCTCTATTTAATTTGTGATATCCCTCACAAAATCAAATGAAATTAATAAATCGAATGAAATAAAATAATAAATGTAGAGAAAAGAAAAATGTACCCTTCGTTGTACATTTCGTTTTATATTTATTAACGCGTCGCTTTATGTCGGACGCTTCTAAATGTTAATCCATAAGGATGAATTTGAATTACGACCGGTGCAGATAAAAGCGATTACTTTCGTATGAAAATCAGGGTGACTTTTTTCAATCGATCGTAGATAAATCCAACGCACATATCGATCAAACATCTTTGTAAGAACGACATGGTGGTGGTGGCGCACTCCATATTCCATTTTCTCGACAAGTTGGCTTTCTGACAGGTTCCAAAGGTGTAACATAGCCAGGAGAACATGTTACCTGCATATCAAATTTTATATATATATAATATATATACATCTATCATTTCATTTTTTTCCTCAATATCGAGTATACGTTACAGATATCGAGAAATTTTAAACGCTTGAAAAAAAAAAAGAAATTAGACCATCGATATACTAACCTGTATATTATCACCAGGCGTATACCAAAATTTCAGCGGTGAAATCCGACCGTGTGGAGGATCGCCAGGATATGGACATCTTACTTTACCTACAATGTTGCAAACTATTTCTTCTGTTGCTTATCTTTTTTTAACGGATAAACATTTAACATTGGTATAATTAAATTTTAATCGTATTATACAAAAAGGATTGATAGATATTACCGCAAAACTATAAAGGCTCGTAGTAGATATTATCATTGAGATAAATAAAAAGATTTTAATAAATGTTTCCTTTTATGAACCAATAAGATTCTAAGTACCGCATTGTTTGCCTATTCAAAACCTTTCGAGTAAGTTAGTATAACTTATCAGTTATTATAAAATCAAGTTAAGCAAACAAAATATTAAGTATCACTTGAAGATACGTCTAAGTGGACATGAATCGTATCAAACATATGTTATGGACAGTAGATAAAGATAAAAAGGAACTACAGATTTCATCAAGGACGATATCTCTTTTCAAATGCTCTATAAAAACAAGAAACATTATTATCTATAAAGCAACTAAGTGATTTTACGAAACTCACAAACTGGCGATTGATGCGACCACGTGCCATTTTCGGTGCAAATTACAGACGCTTCTCCTATCAATTGATGACCCGGTAAACAGGCAAATTTAACGAGAGCGCCGACTTTGTAGATGCGATTACGATGGTGTTTTCTACGAGTAGATTGCAACATTTGATCGACAATTCGACCGCTTCGCGGTAAAGACGGCGACGGACACGTGATCTCTGTAAATACAATATTACCGGATTGATTTGTAAATATAATTTATCGATACAATTTTTCTCTTGACTTTATCCATATAACTTAGGCGAAGTAAATAAAACGAAACTTACCGAAACAAGTTGGCATGGATCCATTCCACGTGCCATCCCCTTCGCACCTGATGCTCTGAGATCCTAATAATTTGTGACCCCACATACAAGCGAATACAGCCCTGCCGCCAAAACTATTGTTGTGCTCTAGTAGTTGTAACCACGTATCACTGGGAAGATCTATCGGTGAACACGTTATTGCCTCGCAACGTGGTATATCTCCTGACCACATTCCTGGAATATATCGCACGACGACGGGAGTCTTCGCTTAACTCTCTCCTACGATCGAATTATTTCGACGCCTTATACAATTCGCATTCGGCCGCTCGACAGGATTATAGTCTTTTGTATTTCAATGTATGAAAGAATGGTGTATGACCTATGACTTAACGCGAGTACCGAATGAATAAGGATAAGACAATTTTCTGGTAACTCGCTACAGTACTGCAGCCCTGTCGCGTGGTCATTAACTCCTCGGCCATTTACCATTGTTCGCATCGAAATTTCGCTTTAAACATTATTAGAATCAATTGCTCACCGTTATATTGGCAGGTTATCATCGAGGCACCTTCCAATCTGTATCCAAGGGGACATTCAAAATTAGCGCTGTGACCCATCCGAGCGCCTTCGATCTTACCAATCAACGGTCCCTCTGGTAAATTTATAACTGGACATTGAACGTCTACGAGACGAGAAATCGATTAAAATTTGTCTCTTTCTCTAGATTTCGATTTTGAAAAATTTTGTTGCGATATATAAAAAGTAAATCCTACCAACGACGTGGACTCGTATGGAATTTGCTAGGCCTCGTGGGGTCGAACACGTGTATACTCCTGAGTCCTGAACTTTGGCATAATATATCGACAGTCGATACTTCCAATCTCTCTCTTTTGCAGCAATCGCCCATCCTAATTTTTAAATGAATAATTAGTATTTTGATTATATATAGAAAAAAAATTTACGTGCATATGTCTCACCCGTTAAATATTGACGAAACGTCGATGTCCACGTCCATTCTGGATTACCTAATCTTCTAGCAAAAAGACACTCCAAATGAAGAATGCTTCCTGGAAATACTGCAAGCGTACCCGTCGGCTCGATTGCCGCTGAACCTGCTGGTAATCCAAAGACAATCGTCGGTGGAACGTCTTCTGGATCTCCTCAAACAAGAAGAGGAGTGTGCATTAGTGAATGGTAAAAAGGCCTTGTTCTATTTCGATTATAATCCATTGAAGCTCGAGGCTCGAGTCAGCTCACCGGTGTAATTGGAAATAGCCGTTGTAGGTACGCAAGACGGCAACTTCCCGTTCCACGTTGCATTACGACAATGTAACGATGGATCACCGATGAGCTTGTATTTACCAAGCTCACGACACCTCACCATAACACGTTCTCCATGAGGTACCGTAATTTTGTCTACCTGCGAAAAGAATATTTCATTGATATTTCTTCTATAACGATTATAACAAGGATGTTAAAATATTACTTATGTATATGGATATTAATATTAATATTTGAAATTAATAGGAAGCTTACTGATACGGTGATATTTTTGTAAGTAACGATGAGAAGTGGATGCAAGCCTTCTAATTTGCATCCTCGTTGTAAAATACGCTTTTCTGAGAAAACAGAATAAGAATACAGATCACAAAAATGAATAATAAGTAAATTACAATGAACGTTTACAAACCTAATTGCTTCGCATCGCTGAATTCGCTGGTCGTCATCAACGCTATCAAAAAAATCACGAAGAAAGTTGATATCGCGTTGCCGCATCCTTGTCTGTGTTTGAAACACGCACGCGTTCTTTCCGTCGTCGCTTCTCTTCTCCTTCCTTCGTCCTCGATCAACATCCTGGCCACCACCACCACCTCCCTCCTTAACGAATTAAATAAATCGAGAGCATTCGCGAATATCTCGCAGCTGTAAAATTGTCCTCGATAACAAAACACCTTCGTTGTCAACGTTAATGCGGCTACATTTTCGAGCATTAACGCCAAGCCTTCCCTTTTACTGCATCCACTCCACTTTCCACCCTTCTAACTGCTCGAAGAACGAGAACTCATTGGATTCGTTTCTAACTCTGCCTGATTCAAGAATACGAAAGAATAGGAGCCTCTGCACGATCAACGAACAAAACTGATTCACTTAAGACTAACATCAATGGGGAACAGCATTATCACTGACGATCAGAGCTGTCAAACGTTTCCCATCCTCGCTAACTCTCCTCTTAACGAACGTGCCTCTATACATCACCGACGTGGTACTCCCTCATGAAAGAGAGAATAGGGTGGAAATAGTGGGAGCAGAGGAAGAAGAGAAGTCGAGAAACGCAAGCGCAAACATCCATACGCTATTCGAGAAGGTACCTAAGCCTTCGTTGTAATCGTACTTGTACACTCCCAGACAAAATGATACATCAGAATATTATTACCGAATTTAATAAATAATTATTAAAACCTAGAAATTTTTTTTGATTATTGTATTAAGAATAATGAATAATGTTTAATCATTTAAAGACTATGATTAAATACTTATCTTTTTTAGACACTTGATATTATTATCTTTTGTATATATGTTTGATTATTTTTTGACGTATTCCATATAATTTCATATTTATCTTTTATAATGAACAAGTTGGAAAGAAAATGATTAATATCGCTTAATATCTTTTATTAAATACAATTGTAATTGAAAATATTTTCATGATTATGTTTAGATACATGCAAATTCAATTATTTTTGAATTAAATATCAGTGAAGAATTCTTCAAGATAAATATCATTCATTAAGAATATTATTTACGTAACTTCACATTATAAATTTTAAACATTTAGATATTACGAATATTCTTTAATCTCTTTAGAACGATATAATGTCAGAAAAGTTCGTGAAAAATACTTTATAATTATAGAAAAATATTTTTAATGTTTGTCATCATACTATGTAATGAATATATCTGTATACATCAAGTAACTAATTAGGGTCGCCATATTTTTACAAAAAATCTAATTTATTAACAGAGACATATGAGAGTAGTAAAGCCTTCGAATGAAATCCACAATCAGTACCTAATCTGATACGCTAGATGGCGTTTGGAGTATCAAAATGTGAAATTTTTAGTAGTTCAGTTGTGTCTTTTCAAACTAGATGGAGAAACTTGTACTGTTTGCGAATTTTTTTTAACTCCAATTACTATGTACTCCTGCATTGACTATTTCCGTAAAAAAAATCTGTCTTGCTAAAAGAGTAAAACGTGATGCGATCCTAAAATTGT